CTGCAAAGACTTGGTTAACACTAGAGGGTAGCTCTTGTATATAGCAAAATTGGTACATTAGTTTAGCTAAAGCATGAGTTTGGAATCACATATAGCTAGAAATATACGTATATAATTTGTTCTTAAAAGAGAAACCATTCTTTGCATGGTAAATGGAAAAGAATGCCTAGAGACTTGGAAATTTTATCAAGTAAGACGAAGGGAGCAAGAGGTAAAAAGAAAGAGCTTGATGGACAGCTTGGACACAAAGAGAGCTACTAAAGTACTAGTAGACAATTCAGGAGTAGCATTAGTTTGTTGGGAAGGAGGTCATGATTCTCCAAAGGATAGCTTTCTTTGGACTTTGACAGTTAGTGGATTGGGGACTGTTAATTGCTGTAATCCTTGCTCTCCCTGAAGCTTGATGTGGCAGTTGAGAAAGTTTAGCAACGTGACATGCGCATAATAACTTTTTTTCTTCCTTTGTAGCACTGCACATCACTATAGTGGTTGCCAAGTAATCTCTAGGTATATGTGGCTCTTTGCATTTAATTGTCTTTATTCGTTATGGGCATAGTTTTCATCTATATTTAGAGCTATGGGTTATAACTATAATATGACTTTAGGTGCCTTCATATAGGGTTTTCATACGTAATCTCTTTTTCTATAAATAGACATCTCTATTTCTCATTAAAAAAAAAAAAAATAGAGAGAGAGAGAGAGAGAGAGAACAAAGTATGGTTAAGCTTGTACATGACTGAAATAGCTAAGTTTCAGCATCAAATATTAATATACATAAGGTTTAACAAAAGACTACATGTAGCTGAAAGTAGATGAGTGTAAAGTGTTTACAAACAGATTTAGTAAAGGTTAGATACAAAAGGCTTACTAAATAATGGAGCCAAATTCTTATTTATTGTAAATATACAGGTTTGCATGCGTTACTGAGTAAATGCTCACAACAGACATATAGGTGACTCTTTGGACTAGTAGCTAGGATGTCAGTTACACTTGACACACCTCTTAAGCCAGTCTGAAATGAGATGAAATACACTAGGGTGAACTGGAGAAAGCCCAGTAAGAATATATGTAGATTATGGCTTCAAGCTATAACTGAGCCATATAATTATTAGTCAATTTTAAGACATAAGCTAAAAACAAGCTACTGAATTTAGAAGAGTAGCTGATGACAGATTTTGCCTGAACATAATTTAGATAATTAGCATGCGACAGACCAAGTCATGACAATTAGCACAAGCATTTCATAACAAAATTAGGCATAAACTGACATGGTGTACTTCAACAAAATAGGTTAATTTTCATGCCTTTCATAATTAGCTAGTCTCAATATAAATGAGACTTGAACAAAAATAGAACAAACCTAAACACCGAAAACAATCAATAAGTAATTAAGTACAAACTAAATGGCTAGGGAGTCCACTGTCCACTAGTGTCCATGCACTCACACTCTAGTAATGAAGCTAATCTCAGTACATCCCTACTGCACGCAGAGGTTCACTACCATTCTCATTAGAGGTTAATCATTGGTCACCCCTGAGGGGTTAACCATTCCCAAACCATAGGGTTATCTAGGCTCTAAACTTCCATAGTTCTAAGGCAATTGCAGGCTTATATATATACACAATTAAATATATAATTAAATAATTAACTTGCATAAAATGTTAAACCAAAACATAACACTCACCTACAATCTGTTTATGACATAAATCATTATTAGAAGCTAGCATATAAATTTATGCATGGATGTCACTCATCTTAATTACATTCAATCACAAGAACAAGAATGGAATGTTCTGTTCCTAGCCTAAAATGCATGTCATTCATCTTACATTCAATTTCTCCTAACTTGGTCTTTGATGCTCATGATGACCATAAAAGAAGTGGTGTGGGAACTTGTTTGGGGATGGTATATATGTAGGTAGCTAATATGACTTTTCTATCATTTTAGTTTGTGACCTGAGTATGTGTATACAAAATATGTGGTTGGTGTTCTATATATGGTGCTGGAGTTTTAGACTCCCCGTTTCATCTTTATATGGTTTTCTTTCAAGTCTTTTGGCTTTGTTTACCTTAGTTCAAGGAAGGATTGATGTGGATTAGCATTATGGTGCAGTAATCCATCCGTAATCTCCTATATGTCCACTGAGCCTTCAGCTTACAGCTGAGTTTCCACCTTCCTCTAATTACTCTTCACTTCAGGGCTGCAGCAGACTTAATTTGTCTCCATCCAGCAGCTGTTCTATGTTTTGTTAGGCGGGCAGTTTTCTTGTATGTTATTTTGAGGATTTTCTATAGGTTCTACCATTTAGTTTCTGTTTATTTGGGTCATAATGAATGAGTTTATATGTAATAGTTCATTTCTTGGAAAAGAAAATGATTTCATATTAATGATTGAATATAATTACTTGAATTATATGTGTAGTCTGCCTAAATTAAACGGAAAAAATATTAGTTATTCTGTTTTAATTGTAAATGCAGTGTGAATTCAGTACACTTCTGCAAGAGGAAAAAGTATTCAAGGCCTTCTGTGAGGAGCACCGAATAATGGAAGTTTGCCAAAACTATTGTGAAAAGTGCAAGAAAAGAACTGAAGAAAGTTCAAAGGTTTGATGATATTTCTCAAAACTAAGGGGAGATGGATGGATTAAAGAATATATAGCAATTTACAAATAAATGCAAATAAGCATTTTGGATCATTTCCCATACATGATTTATTTTTTGATCTTTGTTTTTCATTCATCAAATGAAGGGTACAGAAGAGCAAACAAGAGAGTTCAATGAAGAAGTCAACAAGCTTGGTGAAGTTATTTTGGTTTGATTATCTGTGCCTTACTTCCTTCCAACCATAGCCATGCATGCATCTTTTCTTTTTAGGTTTTGACATACATTTATTAGTGCATCACAGCCCTACCACAAATGTGCACTGGTTTCATGTTCTATTGCCCTTTAATTATCTGAATCTTTTCAACTCTCTCTCTCTCTCTCTCTCTCTTAATTCCAGGATTGTGGAACAAACCTATTTTCGGAGGAGGTAGGCGATATTTTGCTGCATTATATGTTTAAAAATGTCGACATCCTAATTATGAAGTTACTGTTTTAACTTTTTCTTATCTTGCAGGGACTTCAACTGCTTATTCAATATTCCAAGGTATGGAAATTTTGCTGCCTTTTTCTCTTAATCTTTTAACTAAAGTGCTTCGGGTTGATCAGTTTGATTAATTGATACCCACTAACATAAAAAACTTGATTTGGGGGTTACTGTGAGGCATCCAGAGTCTTATACCAAGTAGCTACTAACTCAATATACTAAAAAAATGTACAGTATCTTTTAAAAATGTTGCTATTCTAATTATGTCATTACTGGTTTAACTTTTTCCTTAACTTACAGGACCAGGCAGCAGCTGTTGAGGAGGTACAGATACTTTGTTGCATTACCTTTTAAAATTTCCTAACTCTGAAAAAGTTAAGAATCCAGAATCCCAATTCTGGGCGATTTCAATAAATACTTAATGTAAAGAGTGACTATCATAGTTTTGAGTTTTTGGATTCTAATTTTTTGAGGGTTAGGATGTATTCACTTATCCTTTACAGCTTGTTTGGTTTGAGGGGAGGGGAGGGGAGGGGAGGGAAAGGGAGTTCCCTCTGTTTCTCTCAAACCAAACAGGGTAGTATTATGGACTTACTGTTTTAACATGTTTCTTAACTTGCAGAACCATGAAATGTTGGAAGGAAACTTAAAGGGTATAGATAATTTGCTGCATTATGTTTTATTTTTTACATTCTAATTACGGAATATTGTTTGAACTTTTTCTTTAACTTGCAGCTGGGCCCTCAAATGTTGACTCAAATTCTGGCGCCTCGCACTACTTTGATAACTGGTGGTGTTGCCAATTCTAGTAGCGCTGGAGGTCATGGTGGTGAGTTAATTATTTGACTGGGCCTGGGCCAGGGCTGGGTAGCTGCCTTAATCGTTGCTGTACATTAGGCTAACTCTCTTGTTTTGAATTTGACCAGAATAGGGCCAAAGTTAGGCACCCCATTTGAGCGAGCATGGGAATTAAAGAGGAAGAGAGACGAAGAACTGGATGAAGCTCGTAGGGGCAAAAGGCCTGGAACTGCTGACAATTACACTCCGCCTTGTCCTCCAATTTATGGTTCTCAACCTGGTGGGTTTATGGCTGACGCTCACTGACAGACTTCCCCTCAGTCAGCTGCTGCATATCTTTTCTCTACCTTAGCATGGGCATCTCAGTGGGAGGAGAGGTTAAGGAAGTTAACTGGTGAGCCTGCATCGGGGGGTAACAATGGAGCCCATGCAAGTATGGACGATTTTGTGAAGCTGGTCAGCAAACTATAATTAAGGCCTTTTTCTTCTTCAAAAAGTTCAAATTATTATTAACTTTTTTTGAGTCAAAATTGCTTCCTCAATTAATCTCTATTATCTCCAAACCTTTTTTTTTTTTTAAACAATGATTTTCTTCTCTTTCTTTTCCAACTTCTGGGGTCCTCTATCTCTCATGCGATTTATCTGGTGAAGCAATATGAGAAGCTTCAAGTCAAAGATGCTGAAAGAAGGAAGCCGGAACAATAAATTTTAGCAGCTGCTTCTATTGATGCCAACCCTAAATTCAAGGAAAAGAAGAAAGAAGCAGACGACCTGAAAAAACAAGTAGAGGAGCTGCATGAGGAGGTTAGCAAACTTCAGGCTGGACTGGCAAAGAGGGATGAGATTATTTCCAAGGATGTATTTAAGCAGAACCTGGCTGCTGTATCCCTTGGCTGGAATTTAATGAAGAAGTTGCTGGAGTCCATCAATGCTGGTACTGAGTTTCTTGACCTGTCTCTCTTGGACACCATCAAGCACTGTCCTCCTCTTCTTCACCAGTTCAACGAGGGTCTGACTTCAATAGGTCAGGGACATACTGATATTGATGACACATTTTGCATCCTATTTGATCTACCAGTGATTGTGCCGGGCCCCTTTGTTTCAGATCATTTCACCCAGACTGTCAATATGGGAGGTGAGCTAGCTACAAAATAAACCAGTGATTGTGCCGGGCCACTCCAATGTTGACAGTGGTGAGATCTGCAAAAATCACTCATGTTAGTCCAGACTTAAATGCACCAAGGTAGCGTAAACTAGAAAACAATCAACCTTCTTCTCAGATTCTTTCTTAGTATGACAGCCCTCCACACTGTTATTTACGCTACCACCCTCTTGAGTGCATCTGTGTCACCAAACCACCATGTTAGGAACTGAGCAAAGGCAAAAATCCCTATGTGCAATAGAGCACTACAAGAAAATTATACCAAAATTTACAAGGTATAGAAACAGTTCTCTCTCTAACCAAACAGACTTGAGTAAATGTCACAACTCACAAAGCGGTTATTATGAAAAAAAAATTTATTCTCAACATTATCATACCATGTACATCTTCTTGCCCTACTCGATTGATCCCACTTAGGACCTTATAGGCCTCAGCATGCACAGCATCCACTCTGACAGAGTAAATTTTCACGCCGGCTTCCAGCGTGAAACTTGCCTATCCATCAAACTCTTCCATAAGCACTTAAAACGCTAAGACATAAGCATTTAGTACAGCCATTGTATATAATTATTTCATAAAAGTTCTTCATACCCTTTGGAAATTAGTCTGTGAATCAGCTTCAGCAGCCATTGTATATAATGCAGTTCTGGAACAAGTCGATGATTTGTTGTTTGCTGAGACAATAGTCGGAAGGCGGTGAAGGAGGATTGGTTACCGGAGCTGTTCGGTGGATTGCAGCGGCGCGTGCGGCTGCGCGTGCCTGTGCGCGTTCGAGTTTGTCGTCGTTGGAGCCCAAAAAAAGGGCGGTGGTTGGAGACTGAAGACGGTTTATCATTGTCGCTCTCTGCCCCGGACTTACTGCTTCTTCCATGGGGAGAAATTCAAATAAAAATAGGAAACTAGGGTGGAGATGAGTGGACGTGGATTCAAAAACTTCAAAGCCGCAGAGGCCCGGCGAGAGACAGTGACGCCGCCCCCTGTCCATAAAAAAAAGGGAAAATCTCGAGGGTGGTCACCCAACTTTAATAAAATCAAC